AAGACTCTAATAAAAGCATTGGCCTGAGCCTGCTCAAAATCTACTACCAGTTATTCATGGTATGAAAGGCTTTTTGGCTTTTTCTTGATGGGGGTGGCTTCCTCAGACTGGGCCTTTTTCTTGCGCCCTCTAGTCTCCTTTGGCTCCTCTTCAATAGTTGGGAGGATCTCATCCAACTTGGCCTTTAATATTGTTAGAGCCCGGACATAGGTTTCCTGCTTCTTATTTGGAAGGAAAAAGAAGACCAGGGGAAGAACAAGATTGCCAACCTGCCCATGGATATTCCAAAGCTGGCTAAAGAGCTTTGGGCAGGTTGAGAATGTTCCATCTGCAAGCCAGGTCTTGCATTTTAAAAGGTTGCAAAGATCCTGGGAGGTAGCAAAGCAGATGATCCGCTCTGGGGCATATTGCCCATCATTGTGAAGGAGAAATCTCTCTTTGTGCCGTGAAAGCTTTTGCTCTTCAGTTAAAATCAACTGGTCAATTGATGTAGCACTGACGCCATCAATTCTCAGAGCATATCTCTGGTCAGTGAGATATCTCTGAAGTTTTGAGGTGCCACCAACAGTTGCCAGTTGGGTATCATTTAGATTAATGAGTGTATCATTTACAACCTCAGTTGCAGTTTGGTCTTTGGTGGTTGGTATGACCTGGCAAAGAAACCAGCAGATCAGTTGATACAGTGGATCAAAGGGCTCAGCACAGTCATGCCCAATAGTCAGGGCTTTAAAAAGAGTGAACCCATAGGTGGTGAGTCTAGCTGGACAGCCAACATTATCACATTTGAAGTGATGCTGACAGATGGGCTTATTCTTGTTGTTGCAGCTGAAGCTGTAGCCCTTGTGGACAAAGCCAGCACCCCCTTTCTTGGTCATAATCAGATAGCTGATAGGGTAAGTTGGGGGCACAGCAAAGGAGCCATTTCTGTTGTATACATTATGGATGGTATTAAGATCCCAGAGCTCAATTGGCTCATCTTCAGGAGCACCAGGCTCAGGCTCCTGCTCTTCTTCATCCTCAGGCTCTGGAGTGGGGTCAGAGTGGCAGTTAATGTTGAATAACTTCTCTTGAGGGTCTGACAGGAAGTAAACAAAAGGAGAATGGGGAGGGGTTGGGCTTGTTTCCTCAGGCTCTGGTGAGGGTGTAGGGGTCTTGGGGGAGCTTTACCCTTAGCAAGCTGCTTTTTAGGGGTAGTTTTGGCCTTTGAAGGAGTGGTCTTGGACTTTGAGGCCTTGGAGGCCTTGGACGCAGCTTTGGTGGTAGGCTTGGGAGGCATCTAAAAGTGAATTAGTATCAAAATATGAGCAATTTGGGGTTGTTTTTAAAGAGAAAAACAAGAATGTTTTTAATAAAAAATATCAATTTTTTTACATAGAATTGTAGAGGAGATCAAATAATATATACTATCAAAATTTCAATGTTTTTTTTGAAAAAATAATTTTTTTATTAGTAACGCAAGTAGGCAAAACTTTGAGTTTTGACTGAAAACTTGCTCTCAAGATGGCATTTTTGAAGTGATGTAATTGAGATGCTGTAGCACAAAAACATAGTGTTTTTGACCATTTTTTATATTAAATTAAGAAATCTATGGTGGAGCTACCTCAACCAGGCCAAAGAGTAAAACTTGAATTTCTCAAAAACTAGCTTATACAACTGGGGTTAAAAAGTACCCAGTTGTTTAGAGGAGGCAAAAAAATATATATTTGCAAATTTTTATATGTTTTCTTACATTTTTTGCTTAAGTGGTTTTAGACGTGAAACTATACTTTTGAAAAGTGGAAAGCAAGAATTGCAGTGGGGGAATTGATATAGCGTAGCCTGGTGTCATATGTAATTTCCCCTTATTTTCCCCTATCCATTGTGCGCCTTGGATTAATTGGGTGATGTGAAACTTGGTGGAATTTGAAGAACGTAAATTGAAATGGCATAATTACCCTCTTCTATATTAAAATCACTATTAAAATATTTTATTGATGAAACCCTTATCAACGTATCCATGTATAATAAAGTTATAAATTACATGTAACAAAACTGGTTTTTTTTACCCAGCAATGACAATCACTAGAAGGACTATCATAGTGGCATTTTTTTAGGTTATTCCTTTTATAAGTGTCTTGGATTAATACTATAAGAACATCTTCTGGCACTATACCACAGGCTTTATTTTAGTTTGGGTATAAACTTGTTTTAGTTTAAGATAGATGGCGTAATTTGACATAACGTAAAGTCAAGATGGCGTAAACACGCCCCACACTAAGTGTTTTCATATGTAAATAAAGTTAGCAAACTAAGATTTAATTAATCTGAATTGAGATGACAGAATCAAGATGGTGTAAATTTGAGATGCTGTATTATAAAAGTATATGTAAATTTTAACTATTTTATTGTTTTTTTATTTTTTTGTGATTCAAAATCACTAACGCAAAAAATGCCATCTCGGATTAAATTTGAGATGGCGTTTTTTGAGATGCTGTTTTTGAAATGGCGTGTCCTACTGCTTACTGTACATTCAATTTGGATTCCAGTTCCCACAATTAATATCTGAGTTTACTAGTGGCATTCAAAAGTGATTTGAAATTTGGTTCTTGGATTTGACAATCCCACAATTCCAAAAAACATAGTAAACTTAATGAAAATGGTTGATGGATTTGAACACTTCAAATTTGATTCCAGTTAATTCATTTTTTCCATTGGAAATATGCAGTTTGACTTGAACTTTGCAAAGTGTCTATGAGTTCCCGCATTTTTAAAAATTCAAATAAAAATATAAAAAAAAATCAATTTAATTAAAAAATGCCATCCCACAAAAGTGATTCAAAATTTGGACCAATGATTTGACAATACTGCATTTTTACATTTAGGTTCTGAATTTACAGTACTGTAAATTCAGAACCTAAAGGTAAAATGTGGGATTGTCAAATTCTTTTGCATAAACTCACCAATTTAATGGATTAATTTTGTATCCCAGAATAACTTACTTTTTTATATAAAAGGATGGAAAATATTCCAGTGAGTTGGTGAGTTTACACAAAAGAATTTGACAATCCCGCATTTTTACCTTTAGGTTCTGAATCTACAGTATTTGATTTTCATGTATAAACATGGCTATCAAAACTGGGTTTTTCATGTATTTTAGTCATAGCAAAGCCTCTTGATTTGGATTTCTTTGTCCTAGTTTCTTACTGTACATTCAATATGGATTCAAAATCCTATAATTAAATTTTGAATTAAATAGTGACATTCATTTGTGATTTAAAAGTTGGTTCTTGGATTTGACAATCATGAAATCTCAAAAAAATATAGTAAACCTAATGAAAGTGATGGATGGCTTCAAAAAATTCAATTATGATTACAGTTGATTCATTTTGTCCACTTGAAACATGCAGCTTGGCTTGAAATTTTCAAAGTATCTATGAGATTCTTCAATTTGAAATATCCAAATAAAATGCTAAAAAATCAATTTAATTAAAAAAGGCCAAACCACAATTGTGATTTGAACTTTAGTGTAGGATTTCACAATCCCAAACTTTTGCCATTAAGTTACAAATTTACAGTATGTTGAACTGAAATATTATGTCTTTGAATAAACTGGCATTAATTATTTTATTTCAACAGCCTTCACTCCCAACAACAAATATTTATTGAGTATTCTAGACCTTATTAAGGCAATATTCATATATTGAGACAATTTTGGACTAAAATAAAGTCTTTCTCCTGAATATAGATAATAAATAAAGGCTATTTCAAGATGAAAAGAAATATTCATTTTTATTGAAACTGATTTTCTGCATTTTTATGTTGAGAATATTATTTGGCTCAGTTAATCACTTGATTGGTCTACTGATGTTAATTTGTTAATTCATTGGTTAGTTAATATCGTAAAATTATGAAATAAAAAATTAAATTGTTTTAAAAAAGAGAAATATTTTCTCTGACAAGAACATATAATGATTTCTGATTGAAGACACTGTTTTTATAGAAAATTCTCAATAATTACAGTAATTTTCAATCCTATTGAGATAGACAAAAATCTCAGTCTGAAAACAAAAACAACTCAGTATAAAACGAAATCAAAAATCAAGGAAATTATATTAAATTACAATAGATTTAGATCCACTTTTATTTTGCTTTTAGACTGAGTTGTTTTTGTTTATCTCAACATGTTTGAAAATTACTGTAATCCTTAAGAGAACAACTGCTAGGATTACTCATACAGCATGTAACATCCTTCATGTTACTACTTTCAAAAAAAAGCTTTATATTTTATAATTTCTCTTAAAATCTTAAAATAAAAAAGTAAATATACCTAATATCATCAAGCTCAATTATTTAACACTGAAAACTATCTTTGGTTGTTATAACATCTTTGCTTACTCTCTCTTGGGAAATTATTTCCCCAAGAAATGAAACAATTGCTGAGTATTATTATTACTATTGACACTCAAATAATGCACAATGATAAAACATTTAAATCATATGAGAAACAACACCTGGAAAACAATCATGACTATCATGACTTACATGAATACTATGTGACTTATCATGATGCTATATAACACTGTTTTTCTATATCAAATAGAGTATATTATATCCTTTAAAGTTTTTACATTTATTTATTTTACATACTTTTTATAAGTATATACTGACACAAATCTAAAAAATAATAAAAAAGTTGTGGAAATTTTAAACATGGAGAAATTATATGCTCTAAGAGTTAATAATGAAGTTGCTCTTGAGCAAGAAAGCTGATAGATGTCACAATAAATAAAAAGATTGATAAGTTATTTTAAAAAATCTTTTAATATAATATTTAACTTAAAACTATGAAAAAGCTTTGATTTTTAAATTATATTCTCATTTCCTTGGTCTCAGGGATTATATAAGGCTTAAATTAAATAGTAATACACAATTGACATAGTCCTTATCTAATTGCATTTCTAAGTTATATCCTTGTTGAGTTAAGAAATAGTACTTTATATACTAGATATCTCTGAAAAACAGCTGATTTGGCCGAGTGGTCTAAGGCGGTGCACTTAAGATGCACTCTCTGAGGAGGCGTGGGTTCGAACCCCACAGTCAGCATTTTTAAATTTTTGGCTCTTCTTACACTATACAAAACTGAATTTTTAATTCCTGGATGAATCTTCCTTACAATAAGCTAATTTTTCTGTACAATTTCAAGAATTCAGATCATTGTTTTTTAATAAAAAAATACTGAATATAATATTTTGTTGTGTTTCTTCATTGGAAAGTGTTTGATCAGTGTGTCATTATCTTTATGATTAAGTCTAAGTGCTGGCTCAATTATTTAAGAACATTTATAACCATGTTAGGTTTATAAGAAGTTGTATCTATAAATCTAAAAGTATAGCTATTATAAGTTATAATAATGGTTTAATTATTCACATCAAATATCTTTTATTGTTTACTTATCTTTTATTCTTGAAGTTGTTGAGGATCTGGATGTACAAGTATTCTGGCTACAACCAGCCCACTTAACATCCAGACATTGCCCAATTTGGTGCCTTTCCAATATCCAGTTTGACATGCTGTAAACTGCAACAAACCAATAACAATGACTGTCCAAGTACCCAGCAACTCAACCCCATCCTGCACATGACCAACCCCTAGGTTCAATCTAACTAAAATCTCCGCCACAGCTAAAGCTATATAAGTCTAAAGTATTATCCAATAAAATATACTTCTCTCTCTAATTTTCATATATGAAGCTTCCCCAAAAGGCACTCCTTATCACTGGTAGCAGCTACGGTTTTTGACTACACCAATGAAAGAGAAAATGACTGAACAGAACCTGCCCACCTTCACTCATGTACTCAACCAGGCCACATCCCAGGATACCTGGAAAACAGACATCCACCAGAATTAAATCATTCTGCAAGTTGACTTAATATATGTCAACAATTGGAATTAAAAATACTTTAATGTTGACAGCATTGAAAAGTCAGAATTAAGTTTTAACTCATGCAGACTACTAAATATCAACACTTTTTTAATAAGCAGAAACCTGTTTCCTGAACATTTTATTTAATAAAAATTAAGCTTCAAAATACTTTTTAGGGTAATATGACAACATAGATTTAAAAAAGTCCATAAAAAATTATACATGGCAATTAATAATATTCATAAAAATACACTCAAAAAATAATTCACTATGAAATTAGCTATCTTTACTATAAAATATTTTCCCACTTATAAAATTCAAAAAATACAATACACAAAAAGATACTACATAAAAATTAGATATTATAGGAAAATATAATAATCAGAAACAGTAATATAAAGTTTTTTTCATATTGAAAACTACAAAAAGCATATAATTTACTAGTAAAATACCAATATAGCCCATGTAATACAGTCTAAAGCATCAAACTATCAATAGAAAATATATGATTTTATAAAAGCAGTATCATAAAAGATTAATGATTTATTTAGAATAACTATTTATTTAAAAATATTATACTTAATATATAAGAACTATATAAAAAATTAGGCAATACTCAATAAATTTAATTAAAAGCTAGTCTGTGATCACCTGGTTGCCATTAAGAACTGTGGCAATCTTCTTGATGTATTCCCAATTTCTGAAAGCTTATATTTGGCCTTGACAATGTCCTTAATCTTCTCTTGATATTGTTTCTCTTTGGTGGGTCTCTTCTTCTTAGATGGGCGGTTCTCAAAATCTCTGATGGATGCAACAGTCTTCCCCTGTTGGACTTTGAGGTGCTCATGGAAGGTGTTGTATCTGGGCTTGATTCCAAAGGAGGACTTGATATGCTTATGCCAGCCCTCCAAAGATGAAGTCATTTTCATCTCATCCTTAAGAACTGCCTGATAGCAGTTCCAGTTGGCTTTGGCTCTGGGGTTGCTCCGGTGCCTAGTGACCTTACGTCCAATCCACTGTGGTTCATAATATTCAATGAAAGGGTAGAAGACATTCTCATGTTTCTTGGAATATGGATCCTTGCATAGGAGGTTCAAGGCTTGTCCAGTATGCTCTGGCTTTACAAAAGCTAGTGCTACAAACTGCTGAATTAAGAACTTGCACTTTCCTGATGTATCTAAACAGTGAAGCTTGCTGAGCTCAGGTAGACCCTTTAGTTGCCTGTTGACAGCCTGTCAGTAATGGAAAAAACACCCCTGTACCTCTCTATCAAAGGTATTCATAAAAGCGTTATACTGGGCAGTTTCATAGTCCATGATTATAGTTAAGGGGCCAAGTGCTTTATCATGAGCTTCTTTTTCTGCAGCAAGGGTGGCTTCATCCTTTTCATCATCATTTGGATTGGCTCTAGTGTTATGTCCAGGGGGACTCTTTTTATTACTGGTTAGGGCTTTGATGCCCTCCTGAAGGATTTTAAAAGCCTTTGTGTAGATCTCTTTTGTTGCCCCAGAAAGCCAAAATTAGGCAAATGGGAGTACCTTGTCTTCAATAAGAGAATGTACAACCCATAGTTGGTAAAAAAGGCAGGGGCATACCACAAAGGTACCATCACATAACCAGGTCTATGAATCTCTTAACTGCTCCAGGCTCTGTTGTGTAGCATAGTATATAATTCTTGCCTCTGCTGTAGGCCCATCATCATGTAAAAGGAATGCCTCATCACCATTGAACATCTTTAACTCCTCTGTCAATACTAACTCTCCTTGGACCATGGCAGATTTCTTATGGGGGAATAGATCACGGCGTTTGACACATATGTACTTCACTAACTGGTTGCGGTCAGGGATGAGCTTCAAGTTCTTATTACTTAGATGCGTGGTGGCCTTAACTGTCAGATCAGAAGCCTTGATGTCTTTGGAGACTGGGACCATTTGATAGGGGTACCACTTTAGAAGCTTTTCAATAAGATTGATTGGAGCATTGCATGTGTGCTCTCCTTTTTCACTAGTGACTTTATCCCATTCTTCTGTGTTGATCCTGGCAGCACAGTTTTTATCTTCACACACATAATTCTTGCTTTTTCCTGCTCTCTTCTGATTGCTGCAATTAAAAACATAGCCATCACAGACTAAACTTGCACCTCCTTTGACAGACATTAGAGGGGAAAACCAAGGGAACTTCTTTGGGAGCTTAAACTCTCCTTTGACGTTACATATATTGTGAACCTTTAGGGGATCCCATGGGCCAATTGGTGCTTGATGATAGTCAGACATTTAGTCATCAGGAACTTCTTTATTGATACTTGATGAGGAGGATGGAGGTGCAGATTCCTTGGGCAGTGGAGGGGAATTATCTAGAGTTGGATTATTGTGCTTTCTCGACTGGGATGAGCTTGATTCCTTGGGACTTGATTCCTTTGAGCTTGATTCATCTGGGCTTGGCTGGGGTTCTGGACTCTTGGGTATCTTTTTTCTTCCTTGCTTGTTTAGTGGAACCCCATCTCCTTCTGATTAGTACCAACTTAGAGAAGAGGAGGGGGCAGGGGAGGGCTCTTTGCTTTCAGGGTCTGGGGTCTTCTCCTTTGTCTTCTGTTTTATTGAGGGCTCTTTGGCTGGTTTTTTGTTGGGGTAGGGACTTTGGGCCTTTCCAGAGGCTTTAGGTACTTTCTTGGTTGACTTGGGGTTCTTTTGTGGCTTCTTAGAAGATTTGTCCTACAATAATTAGAGTAGAGTTCATAAAGTAAGAATAATCAGTTGAAACACAGATAAATTTAAATAACATTAACTTGTTTTATTTTTTATTATTAAGCAAATAGTTTATAGAAGTATGGAAAGTAATTTTAGAGCTAGTTTATTAGTAAAGAATAGAAAAAACCATGTTTAAATAAAAAGTTAACATTCTGGTAGTCACAATGGTCAAAAATATTTAATTTAGTTTGTCAGCATAAAAAACACTTTAATTTTGATGTCAACATACTGACAGTCAATATTAAACTAGAAAAACACTATGTAAATCACTTATAAAGCTTAGTTAATATTTTATGGAGTTGGTTTTTTAAGGCCAAAATTGATTATTTTTAAATTTAAAAAATAAAGTTTTGCATATGTAGCTTATGAAAACTAAATAGTAGGGATTGTAGAGCAGACTCTAAAGTACAGCTCTGGGTACTTTGGCCTGAATTACCATACCATTATATGTCTGCTTTTTGTTAAGCGGCAGTGTTTTACTAATCAACCAGTGAAGGTGTCAACATTCAGGCAGTCAGCGTTCTTTTATAGCAACTCTCCTATTAAATCTTGCTTAAATTATGTCACTTTGTTTGCTTAGACAAACCCCTTTGTTGCAATTTAGGAAACACATTGATTTGACACAAAGTTGACATTATAATTACATATATAAATTCTAGTTTTAACATATGCCTTTTGGCTTAAGTGGACTTCTAAAAATAAGCAATAGTTTATCCAGTGAGTTTAAAAATACAGTAAATATCTAAATAATACAAAGAACACTATGAAAGTTGGAATATGTCTTTTTTAAATGCTTATCTTATTATATTTTAATAAAAACATTAATATAAAATATAAAAATAGTTATTTTTAGAATATTGTATAATTTATTAAAAAACTCATGGATTCTTATTTGGGGTTGACATCCAGATATTACTTACTTTAGTTGACCTTAATGTAAAAGTACAAAGAAACTTACATTTTCATAGTAAATTACATTAGTTTTTGGCTTAAAATTAAGCCTTTGTTTAAATGGTGTTGACATTATGCCTGTTCCTTTTTAATTTGCAATTCTGACTTAATAATTCACTATGAAAAATTAGCTTAGTTTTGGAAATTCCCAATTTTTACAGATAAATACTAAAATAATGTTGACTTAATGAATGTTGACAAATTGTCAACATTCAGTGAGTCAACTTTTGGAATGAGTTAATTCTGATGGTTGTCAGAAAACGTACTTCTGTGCCCACAACATCAATGAAGATATACCTAGTAGATGTACTGTATTCAAAGGACTGGTCATGCCTAAAACATGCTCCAAGATAATTCAATACAGTTGCTCTCTCCAACCACAAACAAACACACAACCACCTACCACAGGCAAAGTTACCAACATCAATTACATAGATATTAAAAAGTTCTTTGGTAAAAACAAAGAAAACATCATCAATTGG